AGCCGGGATTGTGGCAGCGCATGTCTGGCACTTATAGGCAGGATATTAGCAGGATTGTATATCATTCAGCAATATTGGCAAATGTTGTCTCCCACGAAGCCAGGTCATATAATCAGGCACAAATTGTGACAAAGATATTTATGTCCACAGGCTGCAATACAAAGTAGACACATTATCCTGAGGCCAACCAACTAAAAAAACAGTTATTGAGCCAATCAACCAAATACGTCCATAGTCCAAACAGTTGTTGAGTTTCTTTAGCCTATTTATACCAACAAAATTAAAAACAAATTGCCTGTATTTCTATCAGTCATGTTGATTGCCATGCTATACAGGAAGAAATACATGTAGACATGCATGTGAACTTATTCTGGTCCGGAATGTCCTGTTTACTTGTTACACAGGATATTAATAAGTTAAAGGTAAAAAAATATGAAAATAAAAGTATTTTTTAAAAAATAAAAGTTTTAAAATTCAATTAGAAAGACTTTTAACAAGCTAATTCATCCGGAGCCCACAAATTCCAGGACTGGCATTAAGTTATTTTAAGCTTGCGCATGGCAAAGTTTGAAGACCCATATCTTCGCATCAATGCAATAAATAAAAAGTCTGCACGAGAAGTTTCAAGAGAAGTCTTTGAAGAACAAGTCAACATGTCTAAATTTCAAACAGAAAAATAAAAAATCCACTTGCAGCAAAGCTTTCAAGTGAACCCATATGCATGTTGATAAATTTCATGTGATGAAGGAGTTTTACGTATTCTGATTGGCTTAGCTTGGAAATATAAACAAATGCGCTGATTCATCAGTTGGGAACAAAATTCCTCCATTTAAGCTGTATTGGCTTATAGAACCAACCAACTTAATGAAAACAGCATTCCCATCAGATTGTGAGTAAATTGCTTATACTAAAAATTGTAAAAAATTAATAAACCTTCATCATTGGGTCATTCCAGAAAAGATCCACACTTCCCCCACAGAGGAAATTTCTGCTGTCCTTAGGGGGAGGGAACAAAAAAATTGTTTCTAATAATAGTTAGTGTATTAGGACACCCCGACTGGGGTAGGGGACTTAACTTTTCTGGAATGACCCATTGTACTATTGCTTAAATAGTAATTTAGCCCGCCTTTGTGATCATAACAAATAGTCGCCTTGGCAAACTAAATTGCGACTACTCAGCATCCTGAAGTAACCACCGCGCACATGTGGTTTATTATATAATTTCTCATTGCAAGTTCCAATTAACTCACATTTTCTGCATTTCAGATAGTAACCCATTAAGTTGCATTGCACTCTAATGCGGCCTACTTTATTATTTTCCTCTGTCTAACGCAAGATGATTTTAATTGTCAAAGAGAGAGGGCCGGCATTCAAAGGGTCAATCAGACTATCTGCCTACCGTATCTGACTACTTAGCCAATAAATTGCATTGCACACTAATGCGCTTTACTTTTATTAGTACAGTAATTTATTCTCACGGTATAATGCCATATAATTTAACTCATGGTTAAGGCTAGAGTATTGACACTCAATGAGTTAATAAAAGTCATTCACTAAAACACTAACTTCTCACATTATTTAAAGATGTAATTGGCCAACATTGTTCTATGTGCATTTATCTTCTAATCTGTGACTTAGAATCACCATTTTCATGCATGCATATACAAAACTGTACAAGTACGTAGAAAAACATAACCTTAGCTGACACTTTCTTCATATCTGGCGACAAGCAACCAGGAATATCATTAAATTATATTGCAGCACTGCATAATACACATCCTAATACATGTCCTAATGCATATCCCTAGATACTCAGCTAATTTTTTACTCTCCTAGACAACATTCCAGTCCACAATCAGTACTTGTCATGGACATTAATGCATGTAGTTTAATCTATAGAGCACTTGAGCTCTAGCCTTGATGAGTGAAATAATATGGCTTTAAGGGACCGGTCATAAACTAAAGGGGGGGGGGGGCGGGGAAAATCATATATTTGATGTCTGCACTTTTGGTAGCCCACCACTTAATAGCTGCACGGAAATTTGGAGTCCACCCTAAAATTGGTGCTGAAAAATTATGACCCACCCTTTCAGGAAGGCGAAAGATACCAGAATTCTATTTTTCCGTTGCCAAATAATTCTGTGTTACAATACTCAATAGCTATTCAAATGGTGCAATTAACACTAAGGGCCTCTTTTAAGGATGTGTATAAAACTGGAGGGGACATATTTAGCAGGGGACCAAGTTTGCAGACACCAGCATATATATATATATATATATATATATATTATATATATATATATATATATATATATATATATATATATATATATATATACCGTATATATATATATATATATATATATATATATATATATATATATATATATATATATATATATATATATATATATATATAATAGGAAATAAAATAAATACATATTACAAGGGTCACAAGGTCACAAGGCCTGGACATTTGCTTCGGTAAATGAGCTCACGAGTGGAGGAATACTATATCGTATGTTAATCTTTGCTTTTAATTTTGCATCATATCTAGAAAAGGGTACGTATGTGATATTACTCTCGGAGAACTCCATCGTTTATATAT